CGCGACTATCAGGATATATTTCTATCATCTTATCAGCCATGTCTGCTAAATCATCAAGACTGACAGAGGCTCCTGATATGCTGAGGATTTGTCTGACGTTATATAGTAACCTTTGTAACCATATCTGCTTAAGTAATGCTTCGTCTAACTTGTAAGGGCCTGATAGTTGTCTCATATGTCTAAGCAACTGTGAAGGTCTTTTGTCCCCCAACTCGCATGCGGTGAGTAGTTGCTGTAAGCGTTTTTCATCAGACTGCGAAGTACGGTGGATCACTGCAGCTTTTATTTTGTCATAGGGGTCCGTTTCTGGTACGTTATCTATCAGGTCACTGACTTCCGTTGCTACATCTATAGGTAGTGCACCGACGATATGGGCATATTTAGTCGCTTGTGAACGTATGCCCCTCGCCAAAAATAATGCCTCAACCTGTGCAAACCAGATCCTGGGATTATTAACACCATATGTTGGTAATCTTAGTTCAGAAATAGTGTTGATTGAGTTTAAAACATTATCTTCTGGCTGTGATGAGTGAAAGGGGTTGGTTAATGGGCTATCAATATCGATAAGTTTATTAGGGGAGTCCATAATGTCAAAAACAAAAAATGGGGTCGTGCCAATTAATAATACTAAATTATGTAGCTATATATAGTAAATGTCTATAAAAAAATAATCGAGGCTCACCAAATAATTGTGGTGGACCACAATGTTTGATAACCAAAAATTAGCAACAAAAATATTATGTCTATAGTTTATGTAACAATTAACAGTTAATAAGTAATTACACACACAAAAATAACAAAATAAGGGACGTTACTTAAGTCTTCAGGCTATTGCGTGTTCGGCTGGGTTTGGTCCAGATACTCCACAATTATAAAAAAATTAATAATCCCAATATGGACGATATAGATCCAGTAGTTTTACCAAGCGTAGAATTCAATAAGAATGTCGCAATTGTCTATAAACGTAGATGGTATGCAATTAATATTTCATTCAACATATTAGCAGACAGGGCAGAACGATGCAGACGTGAATTAGAGTGTATTTGTTGAGGAGCATTAACAGTGGCACGATATGTTGTACTCAAAACGGAAGGAAGTAGTGTTACAAGCGTTCAAAGTAATACAGTTAAACAACAAGTACAATTGTTTAATGCTTAATGTACAGAATATGAAAATACATGCGAAAACTATGAAAAATTATTTACAAAATAGGTTTTAAGGTTCTATCTCCACAAGAGAGATATGATAGTGCAATAACAATTCGATCAAGTGGAAGACTAAATTGTGTGAAAAATTAGTGAGACGTAATAAGGATAGATCAATGCGATGTGAATGAATCATGTTTGAGGGGATTAATAATAATATTTAACCAATAATAATAATACAAAGATTTGTGAATAAAGATAAGAGAGTCAATTACATTTGACTACGAAAGGTCGTAAGTACATAGTCAAATTAGGTCATACAATAGCTAAGATGATTGTTCATTAATTGGCCTTGTGGTTGAACAAGGGAGAAGTAGGGGTTGGAGATATTTCTTCTTCATAAAGTTATTGTATGTTGAAGTACATAAGGGCGGTTGAATGAATACGTTACGCGTCAGGTAAATTTCTTTTTCTACGATTTGTCCAGGAATATTTCGTGTTAGCCTTTACTAAGGCTGATGTTAGGGTACAGAAACTTGTTGTCATTGTTTTATGCATGGAAAAATTCTTAATATTAGGCGAATTTAGAGTAGTCAACGTGTAACTACACTAAATTCTCGAGCTTGACCAACGTTTGAAATGATCAATAAGAATGAAAGCCAATTTTCGTCTTATTAAGAGGCAATCTAAGTAAGCCAAGAATATGTGCAGTATGTCGAGTTCTGTGTGGTTCATAAATAATCTGTCCACCTGGAAGTGATGATTTTGTGATTAAGATTAGGACATAATTATTAAGAAACAGTACAACCGTCATCTTGCAATTTTTGGCAAAATTTTGTCCATTTTGAGAAATCCGCTATAGAGAATTTTAGGGAAATTTTGAAGAGAACTTCCGATTATTATTCGACTTCGGGGGGAAAACCCCAAAATTGATAGACTGGGAAAAATAGGATATTTTGAAGCCCCATATTATTGTGTTGAATAGCTTGCGTTACAACCCTAAAGTAGCACTCATCCGAGTTAGACAGGTTTTCCATGTTCGTTTTTCAAAAAAGTAATGATAAAGTAGGAGTTCGCAATATTAGGAAACACGGTAGGATTAAACTATACTGTCGAGCCAATCAGAAGCTTTCGCGGGTTTCAAGGTCACGGCGCTAAGTTCGGTACTTGATGCTTACTACGATCGGTTTACAGCGGATTTTAGAGAAGACGTGATAATTGAGCGTCTACAAGAGAAATGATCATAAGATTTTGGCGCGAAATTCATATATCCATATGTATAAATAGATTTTTCGCATTATAGCTGATATCAGTTCGTGATGAAAACCCTAAGTATAATTCCTAGCCTTAATCATGAACTGTAAATCATAATTTGAATTCTTCTTACATGTTTATAACCCTCATTTGGTCCTAGTTATTATTTGACACTCTCAGCGTCATTCTAGCGTCGCTCGAAGGTCGTTCATAAATTATAGTCTCACCCTTAACCCGAAACCTTAACTCTAACCCTAAACCGTAAACCATACCAATATGCCGACAACATTGAAGCTATGTGATCGAGGCTAAAAGAATTTTTGAGACCTTAACATGGTTCCAGAGGTCGACGTCTATGGAGCCACATGAATGAGTTCCTGTATCGGATGCATTATGATTTTAAAACTTCTGAACCAATATCTAACCTTGATAAGTTTTTAAGTCATGAAAAAGAACAGTATCGCCTCTAATTTTGTGTAGTATATTTTTACTGTTTACTAACTGTCTTCTGACTGGCTAATATTTTTCAAGGTCATTTAAGATTCGTTCAAAGGTCGGCAGTATAGTTTAATCCTACCCTTTGAAGTATTTGAAAAAGAACGTAGTAATTTCTTTGTTTCATTTCCCATGTCCCTGCTTTTACACCGCCGTCTGCGAAAGAAGAATTTTTCTGACCAGTTTGTGGCAATGAGTTCGTTGTAGCGTCCTTGTTTCGAACGAACGTAACAGCCCTTACTAGTAGTAGGAATAACCTAAGCTATATGTATTTTTGGGTTGTCTTGTTTACGTCCTGTCATTATTATTACTAATCTGTGAAAATAGAATGTCCTGGCTATTTACAACAAGATCAATCTATAGTTTCAGACTGCTACGGTACAAAATCATTGTGTAGAGTAGATGTTTATGTCACCAAACCTCAGGAGCTGTTTCAACTTTCCTGATTTTGTCTTTAACATAACTCGTGTCATTCACAAAGACTATAATAACTACATACTGTGTAATCAACTTGTAGCTATGATTACTCAATTTCCCATCTTTCGCATTAAGATAGTTGATTTTTATTCCAATTTTTTACGTTTTCTAAATGCTTTTCATTCATTGACACCTGTTTATCACAAAAATCTTCGGTGTATAAAAGTCTTAAAAATTCCGCTACACAAAATGAAATGTTATGAATAAGTAAAAGTGCAAATACACGATTCGTCAATCACTCAAAATAACGGAGGGTATAGTGCAAAATTGTATTGTCTCCATTTATTATACAGCACAGATGATATTCACTAAAGGGATAGTGAAAAAGCCGTGGTTACATTAATCTGTCCTTGCAAAAGGAACTCAAGGTAGGTAGTGTGGTGTAATTAAAGAATTTAAAGAACATGAACTATTTATTAGTACTGGGACTTAAATCCAGCGGAAGATAAAGTATAGATGCATTTAAGCTATTCCTAATGAATGCCAACCATGTTATTTGTCATTTAAAACCACTGATAATTGCCACAAGACCACTAATTGGAAAGTCCATCTTTCCATACACAACTGTGTTCGGTGATCTATGTCTTACTTTGGCTTCCTCTAGTTTTCCCACAACGTTTATCCCAGTTAAGATAATGACGATCTCTAGTGCTTCTAGAGCAGCAACTGAGTAAAGAGTATTCAGGTTAGACATAGGGCACTCAGAAAAGGCTGTCAGTCGGGTGATTAATTAGCAAATCTTTACCAACTGAGGTGATTAGGATATGTTTCACATGTCTAACCACCTCCTAATGGTGACTTTATTATAGCGCCGGTATGCACTTATTTTCACTCGTGAACAGGCAAGTTATTTCGGTCTTGTTGACTATTTTGTGCAGCTTTGAAAATGGATTCGCCGAAAAGAGAAGTCTGCTCAGCCAATTGTAATAACAAGCAATCGATGAGATCCCTTTAGGAGCAGCAATTCAGCAGAAGCTCCATTTTTAGCTTTTTTTCAATGTACATAGGAGATCTGGGATTTTGTGACTCTGGTATTTGTAATATAAGGGAATTGATCGGGTGATATAACTAATAGGGAGGTCATCTAGTTTGTAAAGTTATTCAGGAGTATTTAGTGTGAGTTTCGTATTTACTGCTACGAAAGTTATGGGTTATGAGTTTCTAAAAAGCTAGTGTATCCAAGCTGCTAATTGTGCAAATGTATAAGTAAATGGGTTATCTTCTAGAAAATAGCTGTCGGAATACTTTGAAATTTTTCGATAGTAAGCAAACATAATTCTACGCTGTGTAAATTGTTGATAGCTAAGCCGCTTGGTTCATCAATAAGTAATAGTTACGTTTATAGTTTGAACTCAAATTTCGAAATGTTGTTAAGCGATTATTTTTTTATTTTTAGTTTGCAGACAGTTTCAGTTTTCAAAGCGTTTAAGACGGTCTGACCGAACGTGTGTTACACCCCAAAGACAGATACACACAAACTGATATGTTGTGGATACGCATACTAATGTAAACAGAATTTGTGTATTACTAACATTGATATTTAGAACCTATTTTTCTAACCCTGAGCTAACACGAAAGGTTTGAATTTTTGCTGTGTATTTATAATTTAAGTTAGCAGATAGTAAACCTATGAGATATGTCGCCCGCACAACAGTACGCATGTTTCTGGAAGCAAAAGATAAAAGTGAGTCGTTATACAATTTTGAACCCATTATTTAGTGCTTGATACATCTACAAGGCAAACACGTGATTGGACTGGTCTTATTAGCCAAGTGAAAGAAGCATTTCGCAAAGGTATGTCCGAAGTTCAGAAGAAGCCTCCTCCTTGATGTTCTAGACTCATCGCGACTTTATCGACAATCTAATGACAAGAATTCAGTATCGTACATTTACTGCTGACTTAATGTTTGTAGCTATAGACTTTTAACATCTGAAATTACTCCAGCACTAATCTGTCGTTTTTATTTCTAAGTAGATTCTTTTGCATATGGACCTGAACACCATTTATATTTCCAAGTAGACACAGTGTTACCTTCTAAAACTCTTATTCCGATTACGTAGGCGATTTGTTTTGGTAATGGTTAGTTTATGTTTTGTGCCTTGTAAACTCTCAAAGAATTACATTTTTGCATCCTTTCTATGTTCAAAATAAGAATAGCTACTGCTCATTTTTGGTGCGGTTATGTGTATGTTACGTTTCTAACGCATAAAAGACATTTGGACGAAAACAGCCGGTCTAAATGGTTGTCTTGACATGTAGATAAGCATAGATAGATAGGCATAATACTAAATCTCAGAAAAATAGTTTAAAGCACCATACTTCTCAAAAACATATGATATCTTCATTAATCTAACTAATGATTTAAGAGTGATATCTTTAGAAACATGTGGAACTAAGCTAAAATGTAATCACTTTCTCGACCTACTGTTCCCAAGCTTTGTTAAAAGTTGAAGTGCTATCAATATTAGACTGTGACTAAAATGGTTAAGAAACTAGAGATAAACGTTTCTACGTGTATCGTCTGTTGATCTAGCTATCTGTTAATAGAGTCGATTATCAATGTCTCCGTTGATAATAAAAATCATTACCAAGATTTGAGTTGATAAATTCAAAATACATTTGAGCATTAGGTAGATTGTTGTAAATAAAAATAATGTATTTGTAATATCCTCAGAGAATAAATAACCAAATTGAATTAAATTAACCCAAGTTTAAATATGTCGTTTCTACTTACCACTGTTGATAATAGTTTCACCAACTATCATCTCGCCGTTATTAGTCTGTTTATAAACATGTTTTCATAACGTACAATCCCGACCATTGCTGCTACTTTGATGTGGTGGTAGGACTTGCCTATCGTAATGAACCAATCGAGCTATACTGACTGAAACAATCGTTCCTCAAGGTCCTACCATGCCAGACAGGTCGGTTGAAGAGCGGTGAGACTAAAAGCAGTAAACCCAAGGTCCGAAGGCGAAGTCGTACTGCCGACTGTACAGAGGTGTGACGGCAGTAATGTGTTTCCTTCAAACAATCAGCATGACGGCGATGCTGCCTTCCCACAATGGGGGTGGGGTTGGAAAAGGTCAACCCTAAAAATGCACACCTCGCCTTATCCCACGGATATCCGTCTCCGGCGGTAAGGTTTTTTTGAAGAACGAAGCTAACACAAAAACTACCCACAAAAAGGTCGTGTGTGACCGACCTCAAGCAGTTGTCCCTTGGGCACTGCGGTCACGCTCTCAGGTCATTAAGACCACTTCTAACCCAATTTTCTTTTCAGGTATCTCTAGAAGAACCCTTCCACGGTGTGGGCAACCGTGAAGTGATAACTGCCCTCATACCTCTAACAGCATTCAAGACCACTGTATTCATAATCAATCTCCTTCAATTCCTACTATTCCTTCTACCTTGACTTTCAACACTAAACTTCCTCTTTCGGTTTCCTCCTCAAGTGTCACCATGGCCAACGATTCTAGTGCGCGAAACGCTGTCCCAGGTCTACTAAAACCTCGCTCCAAACTACACATTGGAGCCTTCAACGTACGTACCCTATGCCAAATCGGTCAACAGGCCTCCTTAGCTAAAACCCTAGAATTTCGTACCATTGATGTATGCTGTGTCTCCGAAACACGCATACAGGATCCCAGTGTGGTCATTCACTTGACCTCACCTTGCCAAAATGGACAGCCAACGAAATACACCCTCCGTGTATCTGGCGACCCTATGGCTAGTTCTCGTGAAATTGCAGGTGTAGGCATAGCATTAAGTACAAGGGCAGAACAGGCACTATTAGAATGGATCCCCGTTAACAGTCGCCTGTGTGCTGTCCGGCTAAATGGCTCCGTAAGAACTCGGAAGGATAGGGACACACGTCGTTGCCTTTTCGTCGTTTCTGCCTACGCTCCCATTCGTGAACTGCAAACACGAGAAAATCAGGCTGGCTTCAGACCTGGTTGTGCCTGCATCGACCACATATTCACTATTCGTCAGGTTTTAGAGCATAGACACGCTTATCGGCGTCCGACAATGATAGTTTTTCTTGACTTGAAAGCAGCATTTGACTCTGTAAAGCGAGAGGTTCTGTGGCAGTGTCCGTCATTGAAAGGTGTACCTGAGAAGTACATAAACCTTGTGAAGGCTGTTTACTCTAACATTAGCGGTCGAGTGAGAGCTTATGGCGAACTGTCATCTGATTTTGCAACCTCATTTGGTGTCCGACAAGGCTGTCCACTATCCCCATTTTTGTTTAACTTCATCATAGACTGTTATGCTTAACACTAAATCGATTCCGCGGTAACGAACGAAAGCCAATGACACAATGACACGATAAGCTATTCTAATCGGTTGTCCCAGGCCCCGCTAACTAGATGAAGAAGTCCAAGGCAAGTAGGGGAATATATATGTATTCCGTAAGCAGACGAGTACAAGCAATCCAATAAGGGGAAAAGCCAAGCGCATTTATACAGCAACAAATTGTCCTTGAGCATTATTAGTAAATAGCACACACAAAGAAACAACGGACCAATAGCGTTTAAGATAGTTTACAAGTGGGAAAATGACGTGAAGGTAAAAAGAGCGCTTTTGACGCGAAAACAGCTAAATTCAAATTTTCAAAATAAAATTACAAGATTAAGCCATTTACCAAGTAAGTTCTGGGGATTTGACATCCCCAACACCTCCCCTTTTTGGGAAATCCGAGCACCTCCTCCCCCACGAAATAGTGTTGAATCCTCATATACCCAAGTTTCTATTAATGCGATTGTATTTATAACATGTTTCTGGCATTCAATAGGGGACTCGTTAAGATTGACTGGATGGTGAGGATCGACATTTGATGTGAGGTCAGAATTTGATTCTGCAGAAATGTAGTCATCAGACTTATTGCAAACATCACTGACCGGTTTTGGATCACTATGGTAAACAGCGTCCACCAAAACTGCGCTAGGTTCCAGATTCGATGCATGTAACGGAATTTCTGGACAAGCTTGGGAATCTTTATCACTAGATTCGGTAGACATTTCTATTGCAGAATGAGATTCACTCGTTGAACCGCTTGATATGATCTCTGGTACTCTGTGGGCGATTGGTGCGACCATTTCATGGGCTTTTAACATAGCATCGTATTGATGAGAGCTGAAAGCGGCATTGTTAGGACCTGCTAATTCAGGGATAGTGGGGTTTGATTACACTACCGGGTATGTTTCTGAAATGGACGGTGATGGACAACCGGGCGTGTCTTGTGATACTGCTGTTTCGTTCAGGTTGCGGCTTGTTGAGGAATCATGGGGGCTGCGATCATTTGCCAGCTCTGTGTGCAATTCAGAGATTAATACATCCACTTCCGACGCATATGCGAAGCATTGATGATCCAGAAACTGTGAGCGTAGTTTGACCATGAACTCCAAATGTCGGTCAAAGAGCAACTGTAAGCGGTCAGAAGGGAGCGTCATTTTTCACTTTTTTTGTCCCCGTCGCCAATTGTTATGTTTGACACTAAATCGATTCCGCGGTAACGAACGAAAGCCAATGACACAATGACACGATAAGCTATTCTAATCGGTTGTCCCAGGCCCCGCTAACTAGATGAAGAAGTCCAAGGCAAGTAGGGGAATATATATGTATTCCGTAAGCAGACGAGTACAAGCAATCCAATAAGGGGAAAAGCCAAGCGCATTTATACAGCAACAAATTGTCCTTGAGCATTATTAGTAAATAGCACACACAAAGAAACAACGGACCAATAGCGTTTAAGATAGTTTACAAGTGGGAAAATGACGTGAAGGTAAAAAGAGCGCTTTTGACGCGAAAACAGCTAAATTCAAATTTTCAAAATAAAATTACAAGATTAAGCCATTTACCAAGTAAGTTCTGGGGATTTGACATCCCCAACATAGACCTACTGCTGGAAATAACACTCTCTGCGACTGAGTTTTCAGGAATTGATCTTCTACCAGGTGATCCACTTATTTACTTAGAATACGCAGATGATATAGTCCTGTTTGGTGAAGACGCTGAGGCACTGAGTAACAGTGCAAGGATGTTTGGGATGCGTTTCCCCCCCTTTAAATGTAAATTGTTACTCCAGGACTGGCCTGCGTGAACACCTGAACTAAGGATAGGGAGTGAAATAGTCGAACGCGTCGTCGACTTCTTTTATGTTGGAGGTCTGATCAGCCCTGATGGGTTGGTATCTGACGAAATCTCAGCACCGGTTGAAAAAGCTCGTTTGGCTTTTGCCAACTTACGTCACCTGTGGCGAAGGAGAAATATATCCGTCTATCAATTAAAGGACGAGTATATTGCGCAGCAGTTTGTTCTGTTCTACTTTACGGCTGTGAAACGTGGTCATTAATAGTAGAAGATACTCGTAAGTTACTAGTATTTGACCACAGATGTCTTAGAAATGTTGCTTGGATCTGTTGGGATCACCGGGTAAGTAATGGTGAGGTTAGACACAGGGTATTAGAGAATGATGGTAAATCAGTTGATGAGATGATGAATCTTCATCGACTGAGATGGTTGGGCCACGTGTTACGTATGCCTGAACACCGATTACCACGACGCGCAATGTTGACTAGTGTAGGGGGTGGTTGGAAGAGAGTTAGGGTCGGCCAAACCAAAACGTAGCGTCAGAGCTTGAAGTCACTAACTTCTAGTCTGAGCCATGTTGGTAGATGCAGACCACCTGGTTGGGGTCCGCGTGACTATTGTAACCAATGGTTGGAAACTGTGTGACATGGCTCAGAATCGATCACAATGGCGTTGGTGTATACACTCTCTATCTTCCCTT